TTATCTTCTTTCTTGCTTTGGTTTCCCCCTTTTTAGGATGAATTTGTTGGAAGAGATGATCTCCAAGTTTCCTTTTACCTCCCAAATCTTCCTAGTGATTTGAAGGAGTATCTTGGATATCTAGAGATATCTTATTGTAACCCACTCCTCTAAGTTACCATCACTTCTTTTTGGTTGGTGAATTTAAGTCAATGAATGACTCATCATTCTTAGAAAATATATAATGTCTAAGGCAAATTTGAATTTGAAAATATTTAATTAAATATAAAGTACCCAGTTACTATAAACACTAATTGAAAGTTCTGGATACTATCAAAATTTGAAAGGCAAAGGCAGATATTTATAACTTATTTTGATTTAAAGGAGCAGCAATTAAGATCAGAGATACAGTGCTTCAGGAATGTGGACTCAAGGCTCAGTTAATGGGTAAAGCCCTTCTTGGCAAATGGGGGGGATGAGAACACATTTGTAATACCTTAACCAATAAAGAAATTTAAAAAAAAAATAAAAAAATAAACTAAAAAAAAAAAAGAGCCTGTGCTCGCTCACTGTGACAGAAGAGCGATTTCCAGACCTGGGCGGTTTCTCTTTCCTTTGAGCACCCCCTCCCCTGGCCCTTGCCCCCTGTGGACACAGCACCAGTGTGAGGCCTGCAGAGAGGGCACTTGGGCGAGGACACACACGCACACTTCTGTGTTAATTCTGGACCCTTCACACACCCAGGCCGCGAAATACAGACCTGTATCTGCTTGTCGTTGGCCTCCATTTTGGTGGTCAGGGCAGCCAGTCTTACGGTCAGCTCCTCCCGCTCTGCGAGACTCCTGTCTTCACAGAGTGCCTGCAGGGCCTGCAAGGCGTCTTTGGTCTTCAGCAGTTTGTTGTCCGTTTCTTTCAGTTTCTGAGATACAAGTCTTTCCTTTTCTTTGGATTTCTTAAGTAGCTGCCTTAAATTTTTAACTTCATTCTGATGTTTAGCCATAATCTGAGGTACATTATTTTGTGAAGTCTCATATCTTCCTATAGCTTTCAAGTGCCTAATCTCAAGCTGTTTCAATAATTGGTTTTCTAAGGCCGTGGCTTCCATCTTACGATGTATATCAGTTAATTCGTTTTTCAATTCTTTAATCTTATGGAGCCTTGCTGAGAGCACGCGCTGAGTTATGGCATCTCTTCTCTGGGTAATCATATTGATTTTAGAACTTAAAAGTGATGCATTCCACTTCTGCTTTTTTTCAACTGAGATTTCCTTCTGACCTGTTAAGCAGATAATCCAGTTAGTTACTAGTTTTATATATATCTATATCTATATATCTACATATATATAGATATAGCATGTCAAATGTATGTACAACATCACTCCCATCATCCTATTTTAAAGATGAGCAAACTGATGCTTAGCGATGTCACTTGTCAATGGGCACAAATGGTGAGATAGAACCCAGGTCTGTGTGCCTACACCACTGCCTCATATCTATATTCTTCTGTATGATGTATATGTTTACATATATATATGTATGTGTGCATCTGTGTATGTAAACAAATGTGTGTGCATGTGTACATGTCAGCTGGTGCTTTCTGGGGATACAACATTTGAATCCTGGCTGTGAAAGACCACATGGATTTGACCACCGTTACTGTCTGCATATATATAGATATATATAGATATGCAGTTATGCAAATATGTATACCCCCCTCTCCTGCACAGATGTACATATTCATGAGAGCTAGAAGGGGAAAGAACTAACATTGAATGAATGTCCATGCTTAGGCTAGGCACTTTATATATAGCTACCTCATTTAATGCAGTTCTTTAAGGTCAGTAATAGCCTGTTTTATAGCTAGACTTTTTTAGTTGTTTGTCCAAGGTTACATAACCACGAAGTGACACAGTGGATTGAAAGCCAGGTCTTCTTTGACTCTGAAACCTGTACTTGTATCTTTTATAAAGCTAAACTAAAGCTCATGATAAAGATAACATTTATTAAGTGCTGCTATATGTCAAGACATTGGACTAATGTTTTATACAGATCAGATGTAATCCTTCTAACAATATCTTATGGGGCAATTAGAGTGTAATATTAAAGCCCAATGTAATATGTGAATATCTCATATGTTCAAAAACCCATTTAAAAACCATCACACTGCTTAGAGAATATATACAGATATTCAATTTTTCAATACATCCAACAAAGACCCTTTTTCTTCCATTACTTTGGCTGGGCACTAAATTAAGTAGTCAGGGGGCTTGTGTTCAGGAGTTTATTGAAAACAAAATGTTTCTAAACAATGTTACAGCAAACTTATAAGCACCAAGCTTACATAATTGAATTTGAGCATGTCAAATGTATGTACAACATCACTATTGTCATCCTATTTTAAAGATGAGCAAACTGATGCTTAGCGATGTCACTTGTCAATGGGCACAAATGGTGAGATAGAACCCAGGTCTGTGTGCCTACACCACTGCCTCATATCTATATTCTTCTGTATGATGTATATGTTTACATATATATATGTATGTGTGCATCTGTGTATGTAAACAAATGTGTGTGCATGTGTACATATCAGTATATCTGTATTGAGAGAGACTGAGTCTGGATTCTAGAATCTAAAATATCTGGTCCTCATCCTGTAGAGAGAGGGAATGTCATGGCCAAGGTCACTGGTGTCCTAACTTTAGGCTCCTGGCCGAGTGTGGACACATCCTCTGAGACATGGCTTAGTATGGTTGGTTTGGGAAAGGCGGTTCGGCCTGGGATAGAAACAATGACCCAAAAGAAACAGCTGGTGCTTTCTGGGGATACAACATTTGAATCCTGGCTGTGAAAGACCACATGGATTTGACCACCGTTACTGTCTGCATACATCAATTTTTTAATATAGCCAAACCGGTTTCGGCTATACATCAATTATTGATGAACTGTCTTTACAACTGTGCTGCCAATGGCATTTATTTTCCCACTGGCGACAACTGAGTAGGGCTGTGGTTGAATATTGAGTATTTTGGAATCAGTTTTTGAGTACATTGAAAACTGGAAAGCACAGACCAGAGTCTGTGACACCTACGAGAAGGGCAGTGAGAGGTGCTTGTGGTTGTGTCGAGGCCACTTGAATAGCCTGGGCAGTGGCTAGGGGAACCCTAAACCCAGGCCATGTGGATCAGGCTGGATTAAAACAGGGGTGGGTGGCGGTGTCATGTTCTATGCCATGCCCACCATGACTGAACTTGACCTCGAACTTGTACTCTCTTCCAGCTCTTGGGTGACATGACCCTGAACAGGAGGGGGATTTCCCCGAGACTAGAAGGGTGAGGGGTGGTGGGTCACGTGGGCAGGGAGGCTTGTGTCCATGTCTCACATGTATTCAAGTGACTGGAGGGTTTGCAGTCAGAATGAGTGGGTGCCTGGGGACTAATCCCAAAGCCCTGGCCAAGGCCATAGGTGGGGATGTATACAGAGGGCCTGGGTGCTTTGAAAGGAGGAGGTGTCAGCCTTCAAAAGATCACATGGGCCCCACTGGTGTGACTCAGTGGTTAAGCCTCAACTTATGAACTAGGAGGTCTTGGTTTGGTTCTTGGTCAGGGCACATTCCTGGGGTTGTGGGCTTGATTCCCAGAAGGGGGCATGCAGGAGGCAGCCAATCAATGATTCTCTCTCATCATTGATGTTTCTATCTCTCCCTCTCCCTTCCTCTCTGAAATCAAGAAAAAAAAATCACACGGTCTTGGACAAGAACACATAAGTGATAAAAATAAAGGACCAGAGGCTCTTCTGAAAATCATCTTGTCTGTGAAAGGTCTTCCATATGCTCTCTACTCCCCAAACACCTGAGATTACATTTCTCGCCTACCCTACTGGGCGGGCCCGAGAGAATAAGCCAGTTTGCTTCAGAAAGGTAAATATATCACTTGCCATTGGAGTGGTAGAGAACAATTTCATATTCTACACATCATGCATACTTATATAACTATAAAGCTGTAGAAAATGAAAATAGGGTTTAATCCTTAATGCTTTTATACCTCATTATCCTAACCTACACATAATAAGGGTAAAACTTACAATTTCTATCCCACTTCCCACAATTAAGGCAGATTTAGCTTCATGATTAAACTACTCTTGGGATATTTAATTTTAAACCACTGAGCTAAGACATTCAAATTAAGTTAATTCATCAAAAAACATGTACATTTAAGTCCATAGTTAACCAAAAAGGCGCTCATCACATTACTTACAAGGCAACGTGCTCTTCTGCACATTCCAAGAATGTGCCCCACTCACGCTTTTCTGTGCCAGCCTCCTCCTTCCCGGGTCACCCTGCCCTCCTGTCTAGGAGCCATTGTCTTCCACCCCCACCCCCGTACCCCCTTGGCCTCTTCTGGTCTCTTCCTCTTTGTTTCAGGGTCTCGTTCTATCATCAAGGCCTTCCACACCCTCAGTCTGGTTCTGCTCCTTACCCTGAGCCATGTTCCCATCACTCCTGCGGGCCTGCCCTCCACCAGGTTCTCTCTTCTCTTCCAGGTAACGCTACATTTCACCTTGACAGAGATGCCCACCTCCACCAAGGACCAGGGTAAGAAGAGGGTCAAAGGAAGGGCCCTTTCCCTTTCTGTCCTCCACAGTTCCCGCTATTAGTCTGCGGGCGAGGGTCTCCAACACTGCCTTCATCTACCACCTGCGCCTGACCAGGCCACAGGGCCAAAGGCGTGCTGACGATCGCATGCAGTGAAATAACTTCTTTTTCGGTATACCCATGTTTTGAATGACTACCACATATTTTGGCACTGTATTAGCAAACATATCAAAGAAGAATATACGGGTGGGGCAAAAGTAGGTTTATAGTCACGAGTGCGTGAAACAGTTATTCTCGTATTACTATTTATTAATTATTGTATTATTTTCCATATGGACAACTATAAACCTACTTTGGCCCTCCCCTGTATAACTGAAAGAGTGCTGAAAGTACATTTTCTACAAAAGATACAGTTTTTAAAAATTAAATTGTAGATATACAGTATATTGCTTGCTATTATTTACATTGGTTTAGGTAAATCTCTTAATACTTGACCAAAGCAAAAATCCTATCAAACGGAAGTCCTCATTTCATCCTTATAATTTTTCTCTAGGAAATATCTTTCTGCCATAAGCCTTGCTTTTCTAAACTGGGACTTGAACATGATCTCTGATGTTATTATTCTTTAGTGAATCCCAGGTCTCCATTGGTGGTTCCTAATCCAGTGTTCCCAGCCCCTGAAGGTCAGCCATCGACTCTCAATGTATGAGAATGATGGGCAGATGCTGACCATCCACAGAGAAGGGGCTGCACTGGCGAAAGCATTAAGCCTCTTAGCTTTGGGTTAGAATTATATCAATTACTTGCTGCTGAAATTTCTTTGGCAGATACTTGCAAAACATGAGCTGTAAGGGAACAAAAGAATACAAGAGTAAACCTAGGAAACACTTTAGCATTCTATGACAAAGTTTGATGTGACGACAAGTGTTTTAAGTTCCTGATGCACTGGTACAAGGGTCCTCAGGGGCAAGTAATTTGAGTTAAAGATGCACCCAATACTTAAAACAATTTCAGAGTATTCATACACACAAAAGTGCCCTTCAAAATTTGAGTGCACTGTCAGGTGACTGAATTAATTTAGCTTACTCCCAGTTTATGGGCAAGTATCTTGCACAAAACACATAATAAATATCTGTGGAACAAATAAGTGAAGAATCAGTTTTATTTTTATTTTTTTTTCAATATTTTATTGATTTTCTACAGAGAGAAAGGGAGAAAGATAGAGAGTTAGAAACATCGATGAGAGAGAAACATCGATCAGCTGCCTCCTGCACATCTCCTACTGGAGATGTGTGCGCAACCCAAGTACATGCCCTTGACCGGAATCGAACCCGGGACCTTTCAGTCCGCAGGCCGACGCTCTATCCACTGAGCCAAACCGGTTTTGGCAAGAATCAGTTTTAAATAGTTAAACCATAAGGTACTTAGAACTCAAAATGCAGTTCATTTCTCATAGAAAGTTTTACAAATGCTAACAGCCTTCCCACAGTCCCACAAAAGTGTAGAGTCCAGTGGTTCTCAACCTGTGGGTTGCGACCCCTGAAAAAACACATCCTGCATATCAGATATTTACATTACAATTCATAACAGTAGCAAAATTACAGTTATGAAGTAGCAACAAAAATAATTTTATGGTTGGGGGTCACCACAACATGAGGAACTGTATTAAAGGGTCGCAGCATTAGGAAGGTTGAGAGCCACTGGGTAGACTCAATATACAATGCAGTAGATAGATCCATGGTCCCTTGTCATAGCCCTTGGGGTTATGGTGTTTCTGAACGTGGGGGTCTTGTTTTTTAAGGTGCATGTATGGTATTTTCCAGTGCTTCCATCCTAGTAGGGTTGGGGGCAGCATACTTTAATTAAATAATATTTTTAGGTGAAATAGATTTAACTATCCACACTAAGTGAAATAAAGATCAGTCTCATGTCAGTTCAAATCAGGTTTGTTTTTTAACATAAATTTCATGCCCGGCCGGCCTGGCTCAGTGGTTGAATGTCCACCCATGAACCAGGAAGTCATGGTTTGATTCCTGGTCAGGGCACAAGCCTGGGTTGTGGGCTCGATACCCAGTGTGGGGTGTGCAGAAGGCAGCTGATCAATGGTTCTTTCTCATCAGTAATGTTTCTATCTCTCTTTCCTTCTCCCTCCCTTCCTCTTTGAAATCAATTAAAAATACATTATAAAACACGTAAATTTCACATATACTTCATGTGTATAATATATGTGAGAATCCACTACAAACCTAAAAAAAATTTATTGATTGATTTTGAGAGAGAGAGAGAGAGACAGACAGACATTGATTTTGTTGTCCCACTGATTTATATATTCACTGTTTGGTTCTTGTATGTGCCACGACGGAGGATCAAACCTGCAACCTTGGCGTATCAGGATGATGCTCTAACCAACTGAGCTACCGGGCCACGGCCCAAATCAGGTTTTTGTTGCTAAAGTAGTTTTGGTGCCAAACATATGAAAAATGTTTGGTTATCAGAGCTTCCTAAGTCTCCAATGCAGTTAAGGGAGCGTGTAACCGTGGAAGCTGACGGCGATGCATGTTCTGGTGTGATAACCGCTTCCCAATGCCGGAGTCCCACTGCGAGGGAGGTGCTGGGCTCTCCGTCTCCTGCCCCAGGACTTTCCAGTGGGCCTGGGACTCCCACCTTCTAGAAAAGGGGCTTCTAACCTCCTGAGAATCTGCTGAAAGCCGTGGTCCCTTCTTCCTAGAAGAGTTCACAAACGGAACTCTGCATAGAAGCTCATGGGGTTCACAGGCAAGGGTCTTAGGTTAGGAGCCCCTGCTCTCTAGCTAGGAAGAGGGGGAGCTGGAGATTCTAGATGACACAGACATGGCACAGAGTCCTAGTCAGGCCTTGGTGACAGCTATTGGGTAAATGTGACAGACATGCCCGACACTTACAGGCTGTTACTTTCCACCTGTTGACTCACGACAGTTCTCATGGTCACAGTGGAAAAGTGCCGGCTATTTCTCGCATAAACAATCTTTATAAGCCCGGGATTCCTGCAATGGGAGGGAGTGATTGCAGTCTGGGCAGGGAGGCAGGGAGTGAGGAGGTCAAGCCATCACCAGGCTAATTCCAATTTAGACAGTTAGGAGTTGAAGGTGTTGACACTTCTAAAATCCACAAGGAAATGACATAATCAACAGCCTTTTGCCATCTCTGTTTCAAAAGATTATCTTTGCCATATGCCTCACCAGAGTTGGAGAACATCTTTTCGGGCTGTTGAGACAGGAATTGGTATTTCGTTGGTGAGTCACACCATAATTTTCCAGCTGAGATGTAAGCAAGAAGCCACTGAAATCCGCTGGCGCTCTGTAACAAGGCCACCTGTTAGCTAGAAAGGGAGCCAGCCTCACGGTGGGTTCCAGCAGGTACGCGTGCAGAGAGCTGGCACGACATTTTCAACCCAACTCTCGGTTACTCTGTAATTATTCTTTTTTTTCTTTTGTCATCAAACATCTATTGAGGGTATGACCATTTTTGGCTGGTTTCTTCTTCTGAATACAAAAAGTGAATTTAAAAATAAGTCATCTGTGAACGTAGACTAAATTCCAAGTCTGCAAGTACTGTACCAAGTACAGCCCATCCTGCTCGCGGGAAAAGTAACCAGCAAAGCACAGCCCTTCATAATTATTCTTAATTTCTCTACTTCCAAACTCCTTCCGTAAAACTTCACTTATAATACATGTGGACAATATGAAAAAGTGAAAAAATGAATATATAAAAGTGAATGTGGCCACTTCAAATGTTAGTGTCTTAAATAATGTCAGTGTGAGCAGACCTTGGGTCTCGGTTGGGACATTTTGCTTACCTTTAGGTTGGAAGAGTTCAGAAACGTAGTTTTTCTTCTCCTTTTTTTCCTTTATCACAGGCTTCTCTAAATATTTTCCATTAGCAGCTTTTTCTGAATGTTCAGAGAGAAAGTCTTCTGAGTAATCATAGTAAGATATTAAGCTGCAGGAGCACTGAGATCGGCTGTAGTCCACGCTCTTATCGGAGGCGTTGCCGTCCCGGGGAAGGTCGGCCGGGCTGGGGCTGCCCCTGGGCTCCTTGGGTAGCTGTCTGCTTCCCAGGGCCACGGCGGGGAAGTGCTCATCGCCATGGTTGCCTGCTGCACCAGCCAAAGACATAGCACACCTGATGGAAGAAAGGGGCTTTTAGATCCATAGCCACTGACATTAAAATGGACCTGTGTGTTATTACATTGAACTATCCTTCCTAATAAAAGAGAAACATGGTAATTAGCTGTACATCCGCTACCGTTTCCATTGGCTAATCAGGGTGATATGCAAATTAACTGCCAGCCAAGATGG